AGACTTATGAGGGACTAGAAAAATTATTATGGTATTAAATAAATTAAATTCTTAAGACTTATCTGTTGAAAATTACCAACAATGTTTCTATCTGTTGCAATAATTTTAATTGTTAGAATGAGGGATTTTTCCATTAATTATTTGCTTGGACTGCATGTTTGGTGAGAGCATTACATAAATAACAAGTTGAGTAGAAGATTAATTAAAAAGTGAAGCAGAGACTAAGACAAAATTGTTGTTTGATTATATAACTTTATGCTATATTATAACAAGAGATTAAGAATGCATTCCCAAATACCCATCTACATGTACATATACATATATAGTCAGTCATACATGTTATTGTCAATTTACATTGATCAGGTCATTCTCCTCTTCAAACTGGGAAAGTAAACCCTTCACCCTTCTTTGCCTATCAGCAACTCCAACCAATCCAGCAGTTTTCCTTTTCTAATTTCTGTACAAACACATTATTATATTATATTATAATTAAAAGATTACGTCATGTATTTTATATATATATGTGCGCGTGTGTGCGGAAAATTCGTGTCAGTTTCTGATGTCGATCAGGTTGGGGTGCATTCACAAAGTTAAAATCAGTAACCCTCCATAATAGTTTTTGACTGAGAATTTACACGGAGATTCCACAATCTTCCATCGTCTTAATCACCGCGTGTTTGAATCGGTCAAATCCTAGAATGACAAATTAATTCGTGTAGTTCAAATTGAAATTTTATTTGTAATTTCTCTTTTTTATTTTCTCTTCTTGAACCCCATTTGAAAAATGGGCTTTGGATGATTTCATGTAAGCTTTCTAATAATACATATAAGCTTTTGGGATATATAGATATATCCATATATAAATATATAAGCATATATCAATATTTGCTTTATAATAATAACACAACTAAAACTACTAAAAAAAGTTAAAATGATTCAAAATGCAATCTAAATAATTAATTCCATACTAACTTTTGGACATGATTTAACTCAGATCTGAGAACTTATTTGGAAATGAAATGAAATGAAACCATTAATGATTTGTTCCAACCCATCTTCTGCAGTGAAAATGATGGATGAGATGCTTTCCCTTAAAGCTTGATGTTTTGTTTTATGTAAGAAGAGATAGAAAACTCCATTTCCTCCAGTTTAAATCACAGTAAAAATGGAAATATCTTTTAAATAATTTTACACAATTTGATGATTACATGAATTGAAAAATTACAAAAGAAGCAGACAAGAGTAAAACAATGGAAAAGAAGACAAGCACAACAAGGGTTAAAAAGTTTGCCTTTCTCCATGGCAACAGTCAATTTGCAGTTGCTTCTATATCTTTTTATATATATTTAGATATCATTATGAAGAGGCATTACAGACATCTTTACTTGATCTGTTGTACTTCATGTGGCTCTTCACAAGCTGTCCAGCAGCAAGAGCAGACATCAGAGAAAGTTCCCCAGCAAGAACTGAACCAGCAACAATGGTTGCCAGCAGCCTTGAATTTGATCCAGGTGACTCTTTGCTTGCACCTTTAACACCAATCAGGTTCAAACATGCCGACTGAGATGCAAGTTGGGTGCCACCTCCAACTGTACCAACCTGAAACATACCCATCAAAATAACACTTCATTATCCAAACTGGAACTTACACAGGCTCATAATCTTCAAGAACCCACATGAATTATTCCATTAATTACCTCAATGGAAGGCATTGTCACAGAAACATGAAGGTCCTTGCCATCGTTAACAGCTTCCATCATGGTGATGCAGTGTGAACTCTCAACGTTTTGAGCAGGATCTTGCCCTGTTGCAATATAGATTGCAGTGACAATATTGCTTGCATGGGCATTGAAGCCGCCTAGAGCTCCAGCAATGGCAGAACCAGTAAGGTTCTTGAGCATGTTAAGCTCAACCAGCGCATCCACGTTTGTCTTTAACACCTTTCTCACCACCTCACCCTTTATTATTGCCTCACAAACCACAGACTTCCCACGTCCCTCTATCCAGTTGACAGCCGAAGGCTTCTTGTCCGAGCAGTAGTTTCCTGATCATCCTTCTCCAGTTGATGAATAAAGCTCAAACGTAGAGAATGCAGGATCAAGAGGAAGAAGAAGAAAAGGGGGGTCTTACCAGAGATTCCAATAACATCCATGTCCGGGAAGTCGGTCTGGAGAAAATCCAAGACATTCTGGACACCCTTGGAAACCATGTTCATCCCCATAGCATCACCTGTACTGCATGAAAATCTAACATACAGATTCTTCCCAGCAATAGCACATTTGATCGTTTGAAGCCTTGCAAATCTACTTGATCTGTTACATCAAAGTTGTTACAACTCACAACAACAACAATCAAATCAAACAAAGAACAAATAGTCAACGCAGAAAAGCTCTTTTAAACGATTGAAACGCAGATGAGGAAGAAGAGAAAGTACCTGTTAAACACGATGGATAAGGTTTCGAAATTGTCAGGATTCTCAAGATAAATCTTCAAATCAGCAGCTCTTTTGGCTGTTGGAAACCTGACAACAGGAGCTCTGGTCATCCCATCTCTCAACAGGACGCTGGTAGCCCCACCAGATAAATGAATTGCCTTACAACCCCTGTTCGTGCTAGCCACCAAACACCCTTCCGTCGTCGCCATGGGAACACAAAACTCCCTCCCGTCCAACAACAATGGCCCTGCGATCCCCACTGGGATCTGCACGTATCCAACCGGCATCTCGCAGCACTGCCCCAAAATGGAGTCGTAATTGAAACCTTCCAAGGGCAATCCTGCAAGAGATTTACCCGTAATCCTCTGACACGCATGGCGCCTGATAGCAGCGGCCCTCTTGCAGTCACCCAGCTTGGATTCGAGAGAGTAAGACGGAATCGTTCCGGTGACAACAGATTGGATGATCTCCTCGTCTTCTTCAGGAACTGAATCAAGAGGCAATTTGGGGGCGGGTAAAATCGTCGGAGCAACGGGAATAGAACAATCGATGGCTTGACCACACGAGACAGAGCGTGAATCATCCTTGAGTATGAGATCTTCGTCGTCGGTCCAGACGTCGTTGGCGGGGCGTAGGATCAGCGACTGGACGAAATCGATTCCGAAGAAGCCAAGGAGGTAAATAAACGAAGCGACCAAAGCGATGAGTGCAACTATCTCGGAAAGGTCAACGACATGGAGAGGGGTGGAGTGACGGATCTTCTCGCGCCATCGAGACAGTAAGAAATAAACAACGGAGAAAAAGAGGGTGAAGAAGACGGCGTTGGTTAGGTATAACGGGAGGGAGAAAGCATCCGACGCTTTGACGGCGGTATCATCTGGAAGCAAGATCTTAGATGATCTGGTGGGTCGCCGGCGGGCATCCATTGAAGCCGGCGGGAAGATGGGAAGAAGAAGAAGAAAGTGTTTGTTTAAAGTAATTTTGGGGTGAGAATGGAGGTTGCCAGAGTTGCAGAGGAAGTGGGAGGGTATTTATAGTTGCAGGGAGATTTAAAATAATTTTTATTTCTCTGAATGAAAACGTACAGTCTTAGTTTCCTATTTAAAATAATTTCTTTTCTTTTTATTTTTCAATAATTTATTTTTTATACATTTAAAAATTTAAAAACTCACATTAATCTATATAAATATCTAGGAATTGCCTAACCTTACTTTTTTTGTAACAAATTTTTGGGTTACTTATTTTCTTATTGAATTTATATCACTCATTTGTTTTTTTTTTAAATTATTAGTTATTATTTCTAAGTAAAAATTTATAACTTTCATTAATTAAATGTAATTTCATACTAATTATAAAATAATATCTTAATGAAAGCAATTAATACTTATGTACTAATGAGTTAAACTCATATTTAATAAAATTAGAGTAAAAGTATCCATCATTGAACAAAAGAATGATTAGTAATTATTTTTGGGAACAAAAATTATTTGTTTTCTTTTGTTAAGTTCACGTGTGTTTTCTTAATGAAAATAAAATTATTATTTTCTTAGTTACAAGTTCTAATTAATTATTTTATTTTTTAATAAAAATAATATTATTAATTTTATTCATCATTTGATCATACTTTTTTTTTTTGTTTATATAATTTTTTTTTTCATTTAATTTACTTTAAGCAATGTTTTTTTAAAAAAATTTTTGTTCTTTTTACCAAATGAAATAAATCAACATATATATATATATATGTATGTATAGAAAGAAAAAAATCAACGGTACTCTAATGATCCAAAATTAAACTTTATCTATTAATAGCGAACACTTAAAGTCTTTATACAAAAAAAAAAAATTGTTTTTCTAATATAAAATTAGAGTATAAGATATATAAGATTAGTATTTCACTATTTTTTGAAAAAAAAATTATTAATTTAGTCTTTAAGTTATGGGCTATTTTACGTCTTAGTCTCAACTTTTTTTATTATTATAATTAATTATTAAATTTATAAAATTTATTTTTTAAGATGAATTTTATTATTTTTTTATAAAAATAAAAAAAAATTATTTCCAATATTAAGTGAGTAACATAAAAATTACCTAAAATTTATAATATTTTATAGAAATAGAGTAATACAAACTATATGTATATAAGAATTAAGCTGAATTCAAGTAATTTTTTCTGATAAAATAGTTAGGTTAAATAAGAAAAAAATAAACAAACGCTACACAAAAAAAATAACCACTAACTCATTAATTTATAATTGCTGAAATTAAAAGACCACTACTCCATAATTAAGATATCACTACTCTACTACTTCATAACTGTTAAATTAAATCACCACTAATTCATGATTAATAACTCTTAAATACATATTAAAATCTTACCATTCTCTCATTTAAATTGAATGTTATACAATCAGTTTAAATTATAAATTAAACAAAAACCAAATAGAGTACACAACTTCACAAATGCAGCCAACTTGAGCAGTTTGGTTAGAATATTTGCAATTTGGTCTTCACTTTGACAATAAACCAATTCAATGACTCCTTCATTTATGAGATCACGAAAGAAATGATATATCACATCTATGTATTTGCTTTTGCCATGTAAAACTGAATTTTTGAGAGTTTAATAACTGAGTTATTATCAAGTAAATTTGTATAGGCTCCTGTTTAAAATAATGCAATAACTCGAGTATTTTTTTTTATCAAATAGTTTGACATGCACAATAAGTTGTTGCTATAAACTTAGCTTCAATTATGGACAGAGAAATTTTTTTTACTTCTTTGATGCCCATGATATTACCCCTGAACTCATCATAAATACATGACCATAAGTACTTCTTCTATTTTCTAATTCTCTTACATAATCAGTGTCACTGAAGCCAACAAGATCTGATCCTTTTTCTCTAATAAAAAAATACCAAAATCAAGTGTACCTTTTATGTAACGCAAAATTCTCTTTACTGCAATGAGATGAAGATCAGTTGGACATTCCATAAACCTGCTAATAAAACTTACAACAAACATAATATCATATCTTGTTGTTAAGTACATCAAGCTTCCAACAATTTGTTTATAAGATGTACTATTAATTTTCGTCCCTCCAAAGTCCCTTGTGAGCTTCAGACCCAGTTCAATTAGAGTTCCAACTGAGTTGCAATTCAACATTATAAACCTACCCAAAATATTTAAAGCATACTTCTATACCAAGAAAATACCAACTATTGACTGCAGTACTTCCATACCAAGAAAATAGTGCATTATTCCTAGATCAATCATCTTGAATTCTGTCATCATAGATTTTTTAAAATCTTCGAATATTGTTGGATCATTTTCTGTGTAAATTAAATCATCTACATATAAACAAACAATCAAAATTTTCTTTACATCACCAAGTTTAATAAAAAGAGTGTGCTTATATGGGCATTTTTGAAATTCTACCTTAGCAAAATAAGAATTTATATGGTTATATCAAGCTCGAGGTGCTTGTTTTAGCCCTTGTAAAACCTTATTCAACCTGTATACATTTTTTCACATAACTAGGGGTTGACCAATAAAAATTTTCTCATTTAAATTACCATGTAGAAAGGCTGATATCACGTTTAATTAACAAATAGACCAGGAATTTTGTGTTACTAAAGCCATCACCATTTGAATAGTATCATGTCTAGCAACTAGGGTAAAACCTTCCTTGTAATCAATGTCATATTCCTACTTGTATCTCTTTGCGACGAGTTAGGCTTTATACTTATCAACATTGTCATGTTTGTTAACTTAGTTTTATAAACTCATTTAACACTAATAGATTTTTACCCTTCTGAAAGTTTAGTCAGTTTCCATGTGTTATTTTTTTCAATGGATCTGATCTCTCCATCCATTGCTTTTTGTCATCTTATATCTTTGACAGCTTCTTGAAATGTTATTGGATCACAATATGATAATAAAGTATAATGAGCAAGAGTATCATCAAATTGAATACCAGTAACCTCATAATCATCCATCCATGCTAGTATTTTTCTTATTTGTTGAGATCACGAGCTTTCACTTACTATTTGGGTCTAGTTTATATCAAGCAACTACTGCTACAACTGGTGAACATTAGAGAGCTTTGTTTACCTTGCATTTCTACTTCTTTTTCTTCTTCAAAATTCATAAGTATTTGCTGCTCACTTGCATTTTTTCAAGTCTAATTCCATGTATTTTCTTCATCAAATATAACATCTTGGTTGATAACAATTTTACTTGTGATAGGATTGAACAGTTTGTAAGTTTTTGATTGTTTACTGATTCTAAGAAAAATATATTTTTTACTTTTGTCATCTAACTTCTTTCTCTTCTTATCTGGAATATGTGCATATGTAATGCACCCATTCGGATAATCAACTGCTGGTTTATATCCGCTCTAAGCTTATTTAAGTTTCATATTTTGAATAGCAAGTGTGGGGCACCTATTTAAAATATGAACAATCTAATTTACTGCTTCTTGTCAGAATCATTTTAGAACTCTTTCATTTGCCACCATGCTTCTAAACATGTTTAGAATAGTGTGATTTTTTCTCTCTATTACACCATTTTTTTGGGGTGTATAAGTTGCTTTCATTTGCCTTTGAATTCCCTACTCTTTGCAAAATTTTGAGAATTCATGGGATATGTATTCACCACCACGGTTAATGCGTAGTGTTTTAATTGTCGTCTCTGCTTTATTCTCCACTTGAGCTTTAAAATTTTTAAATACCATCAAAGTTTCAAATTTTTCCAACAAAAAGTATACCCATGTCTTTTGACAATAATCATCAATAAAAAAAAAATAAAATATTTCTTTTTGCCATTTGATACAGGATTAATAGAGCTGCAAATGTCAAAGTGAATTGGCTGTAATGATTTTTGAGCTCTTCATGTTTTTCTTTTTGGGAATTGCTCTCGGTATTATTTGCCAATAACATATTCTTCACATATTTTTGAAGGGGGAATAATTTGAGGTAGGCCAATCACCATGTTATTTTAAGAAAGTGTCTTCAATCCATTAGAGTTTTGGTGGCAATGAAAATGTTATAACCATATTGGATTGATCATCTTGGCCATAAAGTAAGTTTGGATGGTTTGGATTCGTAGGAGAAATAACCTATTTGGTGTCACCTTGACATGAGCAATTAGACACCTTTTAGGATTGTAGAGTTCATGAAAACCTCCTTTTATTATAATCTCATAACATTTTTCTCGCAGTTGTGCCACACTTAGCAAATTACTTTTTAAGTCAAAATATAAAAAAATTATTTGATATAGTCTCAATATTGTTTTCTTTAATCCTGATTTGAACATCACCTTTTTCTATAACATTAATTTTAGAATGATCACTAAAGCTCACATCAGTGTGAAAATCTTCATTTAAATGAGAAAAAAATGACTTATTGCCGCACATATGATTGCTGCATCCTGTGTCCAAATACTAAATATCTGGTTTATGTTTGTCATCCTTGATGTGAAAAGCCATCAAGAGTTTTTTTTATTCTTCTTTCTCTACAAAGTTAGACTGCTTTTCTTGTTGAAATATAAGCTTGTAGTGCATTCAGACTTGTAATGACCAAATTTGTGGCAGTCATTACACTCAATATTAGACATACTAAATTTTGTTTCATTGTGATGATCATTTCTTTTACCTCTGTTTTGAGATTCTAATATATTAAAACCTTTACCACTTCTTCATCCATGTCTATGGCCTCGACCACGATAATTTGATCATCTTCATGTAAATATTACACCATGATTTGAAGCATTCAAGGCTTGCTCCTTAGTTGAAGCTGTTGTCATTCTCTGCTCATGCAACGATAATGAACTTCGCAATTCATCAATGAAAAGTTCATCAAGATCTTTTGACTTCTCAATAGAACATACAACTTAAGAGAATTTTGGAGCCATTGATTTAAGAATCTTCTCCACCACAGTGACATCTTCGATTCTTTCGCTATGAATACATATTTTGTTTACTATGCTTAGTGTTCTTGAGAAATACTCATAAAAAAATTCTCCATGTTTCA